TCTCCCTTCCGTAATGTCTGTTGTACACTTTGGTTTTATTTACTCTTTCGGGTTTCTACACTAGTGAAATAAATCAAGCTCACACTTGAGCTGAGCGTCGGTAGCTGACACAGACCGCCAGGCCGCAGAGCTGTCTCACTGTGATGGCCTTCCAGTGTTACTTCCTTTAGCCACGCCTTCCCAGCCCTCTCCCCGTCCCATGGCTGTGTGCCGATGCAGAGGAGTGACCTTTAGGACGCCTGTGACTGGGTTTGCTTTGAAGTAGAGGGAAGGCACATTGGCCCAGGGAGGTTGCTTTGCAAGTGGAAGTCCTTCTGACCGTCTTGCGCTCTCACGAAGCTGTTCTTGGTGCCCTAGCTCTATCACCTGCATCCCTCCACCCACCAAAAACAACAACACAGAACAAAATGAGTTCAGATCATGTGGATTTTTTTATTCAAGGCATGTAACTAAAACCTGCCTTGCTTCTGCTTTGGAGGCAGGAAAAGAAAAAAAAAAGGAAGGTAGAATGAACTTGCTTTTGCAACTTCTCGACGGCATTAACGTTTGCGTGAGGAGTATAGTTAGAGTTCAGAATTTCAGACTCATAGTGCAGGTTGAAGTTCGCCAAGAAGGTCCCTTCGATAGAATGAGAGTGGCCACAGACAGCAGGAAGGCGTCTGCACAGCCTGCGTGGGTGATGTTGCTGTCCCACTGACGTTAAACTTGGGCATAAACCAAGCACGGGGCAAAGCTGCAGCAAATGGGAAAGTGATGCTCAAGCAGAGGATTTCCTGGAGTGTGCCCAGGGCCCCGGTCTGCACAGAGTCTGTAGACCAATGGATTTGGAAGCACTGTGGTAAATTTCAATGAATTCTTTCCTGCAGGACTGTGCACCTTTCATACACTGATGTGTGTCATGAATCTCCAGCGGGGAAATGGCACGTGTAACATTTCTCTAAGTTACCTCACCATGGAGAGTGTTAATCACCTTTCAGGACTGTTTTCCCACAAGCTCTGCTTTCAGACATGTGCTCATAGTAACGTGACAGTGAAAAATGCCAGCCTGTGCTGTGCGCCAGACACTGACAGTGCTTTATGGAGTCCATCTCATTTTATTCTCACAACTAACTGCCCCTAAATGCTACTTTTATTTCCATGTTGCAATGAGGAAACTGAGTTTCAGCTTGAGTCATGTAGCTCACAAGTGACAGACCCAGGATCTGATTCCAGAAAGGAACCAGATCAATGAGTTAGCTCTACAGGGGTTTATTCTCATATACACACTACAACATTAATTTAGCACCTACTATATGTTAATCACTTTGCATAAGAAGATGTGTTTATTGCTCTAAGTACCCCCCTTATTATAATGACCCAAGTCCTCCTGAATAGAATGTAATAATTCAAAGCATTTCTAGGACACTCTCGGGATTTTACAAATGATGTGTGTCAGCATCAGGGCTTGGAAATGGCGAGTTATTTGGAGTATTGCTTGTGTCCGTCTTTTGTTCTGTGTATTTATAATGGCAAAAAACTGCTCAGCACTTTTTCCCCACAGGTCTTCTTTGTTGAGGCTGTAATTGGAGAGGGATGAATTTATGCTAATTCCACACAACAAGGCAAAGCCCATTTATCACCCAATTCCATTCCTCAGCACAACGTGCACAAACGCGCCTAAGTGTTAGGCCGAGTAAGACATGCAGCTGCTGCTGTGCGGAGGAGTGATAAACCCGTTTATATTCAGGCACAGCTCAGCAAGCAGAAGCACCCAGGGAACGCAGAGGGTGGTGTTGCCCAGTCTCTTCCTGCTGCTGTGTTCTGCCTCTTGCAGAGCTGGGCAGGGGGAAGGTGACATGACGCACATTTTCAAACTCCCGTGCAGAAGCATGTTTTTCCCAAAAGAGCGTGTTAATTATCCAGTGGTGTTGATGTAGCTTCTTTAAGAGTGATGATTTGAGTGTGAATGATTTAGGATTGAGAGATTACCATGTAGTGGAGAGAGATGGTAGAGGGAAGGGAAGAGAACGGAAAGAGAGAGACAGAGACAGAAACGGAGAGCGAGTCTGCTTTTGTGTTCCTGAGAGCCCGGCCAAGGTGATTTTCTTTTAATTTTCCAGAATTTCAGGTGCTTCTGCCTAGTGAGCCCTGCCTTGCTCTTGGCTGCACCAGAGCGTCATTCTGGTTATACTACCGAGCGTTCAGCCGGTGGTGAGGAGTTTAACGGTAGCCCTTTCTTCCACCAGCCGAACTGTTTCTGGCCCTCTCTGGGCTTCCACTTGTTCTCTGCTAGGTTAAGGGGTCGCATTAGCAAACAGCCTTTAAAATATCTCCTTATTCTTCAGCGTGAGGGCAGTGTTGTGGTAATGGAGAAGAAGACAGACAAACAGCAATGTCATCCCTTAGAATTGCAGATGATAAAATTATATTTGATCTGAAATTTGCTTCTAACAATCCAGTGGATAGAGTTGTGCGGATGAGAGGGGACAGAGAAAGAGCAAGTCTGGCTGTCAGTGAGGCTGACACGAGGCACACAAGGCTTCATTTAACTTCTGTACTCCCTCTTTCCCTTTCCTCCTTCCATCTATAAATATATGTAGGTATGCAGATATACGCATGTGTATGATTTTATATGTATATATATACATACATGATCTAAATTTAGAGTTTGTGGTAGGAGTACATCTGTGTTTTAAAATATTTTAATGTGTGCCTCCTGTTAATATTTTAAATTTCTGATTATCTTCCACTGGTTGAGTATATAGAGAATGTGGCTGTATGTGTGTGTGTGCTCATGCATGTGTGCTCAAGTATTTGTGCTCCAGTTTACTAGTTCCATGGCCTTTGGCATGACATTAACCAGCAAGAAATCCACTGCTTTTACCTGTATAGCAGGGTGCATAGTCCCTGCTTTCTGTGGGTGGAGAGATCAATTGAGATCATGTCTAGGAAAGTGGAAGGTGTCTTGTTCCCTTTTGTTTTTCTTGTTGTTGTTTTTTTTCCTGTACTGGGAATCGAACTCACAACCTTGTGCTTGCCAGGCAGGCGCTGTGCCGCTGAGCTACAACCCCAGCCCCTGTCCTGTTCCCTTGACACTATCTTACCAGTTGCAGTGTGAGAGCTGAAGACTTTCTGACTCTGTTGTTGCCACTGAGACACATTTGCCTTGAGCGTTTCACCTGCAGCAGGGCCACAATGTCTCCTCGCAGACACATGCTCCCTCTCCAAAGGTGGATGCCGCTTGCCTCTCAGGGGAAAGAGAATAACAGGGGTTTCCTTATACTCAATGTTCCCCAAAAGCTAACTCTGCTAAACAGACGAAGCCTATTTTCTGAGAAAGAAGGCTGCATTTCTTTTTTACAACAAAATATTGTGATTATCTGAAATACCGTTTGCACGGGGACCACTGAGAGGCTGGGATGTAACTCTGCACATACCAGACAGAGCAGAGGCAGCTCCCGGTCTTGTCTGAGACCATCAAGATTACAGTCGCTTGTTCTGGAACCTTTTTACCTGAATGACCAGAATGCTGCCCTCTCTGCTCTCAACAGAGACAAGCCACAGAAAATAGGTCTTAAAGGTCACCTGCATTTTTGGGTATCAGCCTTTGCTTAAATTGACAGAAGGTAAAGGTCAGCATTCTGGCTTTCACAGAGTACACTGGATTGTTTTGCTTCGGCTTGAGCTATGCCATATTTGCAAAATGTCAGTTTTTGAGAGGGTAGAAATTAATTGCAAATGAAGTCATAACGTGTTCAGCAGGTTTGAACCTGAAATGGAAGAAGATTTGCAGATGGAAAGAGATGTTTTTCCAGTGCGCCCTAGAAAAGGAAACTCAGGGAGATTTATGCCTGCAGAATCTTGTTTTGTCTGAGAGAAGTCAGCATGCGGGAGAGACTAGAACTCCACGGTGTGAGCTGAGAGGACTGGGGATTTGTGCAGAGACCTGTGTGGCACACGTCGGCTGCTGCCCCTGAGGGATGGCCCTTGCCTAGCGTTTACTTAGCCATGAGTTTTCTGTGTGCAAAGACGTGAGCACGCTTCAGCACTTTCTAGTTCATCTCACAGTGGATGGGTCTTTGCGGGGTTGGGTAATTCATAAAAATATTACGATTGGTGACTTGTCGTCTGATTTCTTAGTGGGAAAAAGGCCACAGGAGTGTGTAGTAATTATTAATATTACACTATGATAAGTAAATGGTCCCTTTGATGGTTGGACTTGATGTGCAACTTTGCAGTCGTACAAAGACACACACATAGAGCCCTTCGGATTTCCACCTCAGTGCCGCATTTAGTCAGTCCCATGAGGTATTTCCGCTAGTGTTTGGAACACGTTCGTAATGGTTCAGGCTACTCTGTGATGCTTGATAGGCCAAGTGTATTCAGGGCTTTTTTGTCTTACAGTACTTTCAGCTTTCAAGGAGTTTATCAGGATGTAAGCCCAGCCCACCCCAAGGAATATGCGTATTCATACTACTACTACTAATAGCTTAAGTAGAAGACCTAAAAGCTATTACTGACAGGTGGCTTAGAAGTTAGACACATTAGCTCACTCACAATCATCCAGTGAGGGGTGTATTCTTATTCTCCTCTAACCACACAAGGCACGTTAAGGTGGGGCAACTTAGCCCTGGTCGCACAGGAAGCAAGTGGACGAGCAGGTCTGGAAGCGATAACCCTGAGCCCAGAGTCCGTGCTTTCTCTTGTCCCACTGTCATGGTTGGACCAGCCAGCTGCAGCATTTGGAGGCGGGGACAGACACACACTTGCTCACGTCAGCTGGGCCGTCTGTGCTTGTGTGTGCATCCTACCTGGTGTTTTGCAACCTACCCCGAGTCCTTGCTTCTAATGGAGCCTTGTTTCCTCCCGTAGCCCCGCTGGTGGATCTCACACCAACCCACAGTGGGTCCGCCATGCTGATGCTGCTCTCGGTGGTGTTTGTGGGACTGGCTGTGTTCGTCATCTACAAGTTCAAAAGGTGCGTGTCCCTCCGTTCTTGTCCAGGGGTCTTCCTACTTCTCCCTTTTCTGACAGGTTCAGAAGCACACATCAGCTTTTCCCACCCAGAGCAGTGACGGTTTCTGTTAATATTTTAGGAAGATCCCGGGAATTAATGTTTATGCCCAGATGCAGAATGAGAAAGAACAAGAGATGATCAGTCCAGGCAGTCACACTGAAACCAGGGCCAGTGTCCCTCACACTGAACTAAGGAGGCCTGGCCAGCTTGTAGATGAGAAGGTGGAGTCACAGCTCATAGGTAAATGATTCCCAGTAGCCTTTAGCTGTCCAGCCTGCGTAGTCAATGGCTGACTCCCCCTAACCTCTTTCTGGCTTGATGTAACTATTTTTTTCTGCTCTAACACCTCTGGAGAAACAGCTAAGATGCGTCTTTCTTGTGCCTATCTAGTTTTTTTTACCTTTCATTAATTTATTCCTCTTTTTGCAAAAACCTTCTCTGAAACACTGACTTCAAATGTTAATGACAAGTAACCTAGAACTTGCTTTACCACTGTATTAGACAGAGAGCTCTCAGGGGCTGGGGCTGGTGGGCTGGTGGCTGGGCAGGATTTGAGCTACAATGTCACAGTGGGTGTACTGACCAGAACAAGATGTGGAAGTCTCAGCTTGAGACAGACCTAAAGAGGGTGAAGTGCTCCAGGATTATTGCAGGGAAGGGATATAATGAAAGAGGCAAACCAGACCACCTGGGCATTTTTATTTTTAATCTAGCCATTTTCTAGCCATTAACTGTCCCCCAGGAGACATGGAACCTGAGAACTTCAGGACAAGAGGCATGAAGTTTGCAGAAGAGTCAAGTGTAGGGCTCCTGAGAAAGACTGATCACAGGGTTGGACTATGATAGAGTGATAGACAGACGCTGTCCTCTTTTCTGGCTGCCTTTTACCCGAAGACCCCAAACGGACTTTGTCATGTTTAATCTTCTTCCCCATGGAGTACACTTGGGAATCCCACAGCTAGGTGTAGACTTTGAAGTTTGGTGCCTCAGTCCTATTTATTGCAGAGGAAGTTGTCCAGGAATTTAGACAAACTCATGGAACCACCATGGCTGGTCCGTGTCTCTCTTTGGTTCCTCCTGTCTGTTGGCTGCAGGAGTTGAAGCTGGGAATATTTCCATCTAGACCCTGCACTGGTGACTGTGCTGGATAAATTATTATATGACTGTTCACACATCACTCCAAAGTCATAATGCCAAACTGCCTAGAGTACCCTTACACAAGCTTTCTAATCTGTTAGCTGGGAAAAGATGAGTGTATAATTAGGAACAGAACCCTGTCTTCAGATCGAGAAGGGGGAGATCTGTGGCTGTAGTAAGGGGAAGCGTAAATGCAGTAACTGGCTTACATCATAGACAACGGGGACAACTGCAGCCACATCTGGTGTCCAATTTTGACAGTGCATTTTCTTTTATCGGGGGAGACAAGGTGATAAATATATAATAGCTTTGGGTTAAAAAGGAAAAAAGGTTTTTCTGTCTTCACGTCCAGAGAAGCATTCACCCTGTCCATTCACTTCTAAAGTGTGAAAAATGCTGCATTTGGGGGGTCATTTGATTTTCAGTCCCATTTCCACGGGGTATGAAGCCTAGCAGCTGTTTATTTATTAAAGTAGCAATTCCTCCTTCGCCAGGAACATTACCGAAGTCCATTACCGTCTCTGACACTTTTCCATTTCCAGTGTCATTAAATGAGTAAGTGTTACACGTTTTCTCTTAGGAGAGTAGCTTTACCCTCCCCTCCCTCCCCTTCTACTCAACCTGGTGACTCATCTCTCCGATTGCAAAGAGCAAGACAAGCCACTCCACCTTCAACGCCAAAGCGGGGATCTGCTGGGGCACAATTTGCAATTTAAGGAAAACCCCCAAAGGCTGCAGGCGACCTGCTGATCAGGAAAGAATTTCGCAATTCTCAAGTACATCATCCTTCATGACCACTAACTTCATGTTTTTTTTTTTTTCTTTCCTTTGTTGTTCTGTTTCCTATTTTGCCAGGAAGTATTTCCATAGTTGCTGAGAATCAAAGCACAAAAGAAATCCCTACCTATGTAAATGTTTGAATGGAGGACGCCAGTAAAACAAACAAAACAAACAAACAATAAAAAAAAAAAAAAAAAACCAAAATCCAAACAAACAAACACTCACTGCATCGGGACGTTTTAATTCTTCCGACACAGACAACAAGGGTTTTTAGCTTTAAGCCTGTGCATGTGGACACTAACTTAAGAACATGTTCAGAGGGGTAGTGTACAGGTGCTCTATTTTAATGGAAAACACTCCCCTCTCCTTCTCTTCTCTTTTTTCTGATCGGTCGTGTTTGTAGAAAATTCATAACATATATAGGCCAAGGAAATCTGCATGCATTTTTGGAAATATTCTTGGCTCTAGATTTAACAGCTCTTTCAGCACTGCAGGCTGATGGGTGGACTAGCCATCTCAGGCCTTTTCATAAGACATGCACAGGAGTTTGAAACCCTGAGCTGTTTCTCTGTCCCGCCCTCCTCAGTGTCAGTTTCCCTTCTCAGTTAGCGTCGGCAGCCCTGTTGGTCAGCAGTGGCCGCGGGCTGCCCTCTCTCTCCATTCTCTCTGGCCACAGGGACAAAGATGCAAGTTGAAGATCCATGCATGCAGGTGCAGCAGGGAGGGAAGGGAAGCAGGGAAACAGCATGCCGGAAACGGACCGCTGTTTCCTGTTCAGCTTTTCTCCTCGCAGCTTTCTTTATTTTCATCCCAAATGATGTAGAAAATGGCATTTTCCTGGTAGGTCACGGTTGCTTTGCTTTCCCATTGGTTTGCCTCTCGCGAGTGGCCGGGGTGCTTGCTGCAGCAGCACGTCTGCTAAAATTGGAACCATGTTGATGTCTTTGAATCTTTTCCCTCCCACCCCCAAGTTATCCTTCAGGTGTTCCCACTTTTTCTTCCCAGACACGTTGCTAGATTTTGAACATTAATGCTCACATTTCCTAAGTACTGGCCTAGCTTCTGCCGACCCTGATCCCACAAGTCTTCACCTCTGTCAGTTCTGTACACGGCCAAGCATGCCAGACTCCCTGCACACCGACCAAACTGCACCCTGCCCTGCAGGGACCATTCCATGTACCCTTCTTCTCCTCCTCCAGAGCCGCCTTTGCCAAATATCCCTGCCTTTCCCCACCTGGAAACATGCAATGTGCGTGAAAGAGTTGATACATGCAAAGCAACCCAAACTGGGCTCTGTACTTTGGAAAAGAAAGCATACGGATACTGGCAGTGTTGTCACACATTAACAGAAACTTTGCGCGGTCAGGCCATGGGAGACTTGTGAGATGTGTTTTGAATGTATAACAATATGCAGGAGGGTTTCTTCTGTGATAGTTGCTGTTGGCCAATATTCCTCTCTTATAGTAGAATAAAAATATTTGTGAAATAAAACTGATTTTAACAGGAGAAGCAGGTGAACAGAGTTAATGTTGGAGTGTCCAAAAATCTGAGAAAATAGGTCTTATCGTACATTAGGATGAGATTTTGATTATTTAGAGTGATCCCAGTGATTTCACTTGTGCTCTCTGATCTCCGAGTGCCGTGGTGTCAGTAAAGGGAAAGAAAGTCAGTGTGAATTGGAGGAATTAGCTGACTACAGTAAAGTGAAAGAAATGCTCACAATCCTCAAAGTATGAAGCAGCCCCAGTTTTCCAAGGACAATCATGAAAAAGGCCCAGAGAAAGAAGGAAATAAAAACCTGTCTGCTACTGAAGCCCCTTCAGCGCCATGCCTAGACAAAGCCCACTCTAAGGGCAGAAGAGAGTAGATCTATTATACCAGTTAGAAAAACCTGCCTTCTTGGCTGTGTTTCCAAGGACACAACAGGGTGGAAAAGAGGCGCTAGTGATGATGAGGACTTCCAAATGATCCCGATGATCCAGACCTTTGTGTAGCTCAGGCAGGAGAAGTGTAGAAAAGCTACTGTCAGGAGTTAGTCAAGCAGAGTGTTTTATGGTGGAGGATGTCCCACCTCCGTCAGGGCAGTGGACTCTGCTTGGTGCGACGACCTCTTTGTAGAACATCATTGATCCCCAGCCTGCCAGGCTTCCTATCTTGTAGAGAACATCCTCACCGATGCTCTTTAATCGGAGCCTCCCGAATTTAATCTGGAAGACAACATGTTTAGAAATCAAAACAGATTTACAAAAGAGCACAGGGAGTCCTCTGAGTTGCAGTTCAATTCATTTTAATTGGAAAATTATGAAAAGGGGAATAACATTCTGAATCTAGCACAGTGCCTTGCCTGGACTAGTATTATGAAAATAGCTTATTAATGACCTAAATGATTGAAAAGATGTAAGGAAGAAGGGCTGTATGTCCTAATGTAAAGTAGAGGCAGACATGAGATGCCTGGTGTTTTGGAAAGCGACCAAAGGTGACCAGATATAGATTCGGCATCTCCAGTGTCCTCATGTGCCTGTCCTCAAAGTTCCCTCGCATTGTAGGTGACAGGTGAGGCAAGGTACTTACTGTGGAGAAGGAACCCCATAGTTCCTGTACCCTTAACGAGGTTCTCAGAGTGTGGTACCAGGCCAGCAGTATCAGCATCACCTGCAAATACTGGGTCTGTATCCAGACCTACTAAGTCACTATTGCTAGGTAACACTGGACCCAGTAATCTACTTCAACAAATCCTCCAGGTGATTGGTGTGTGCTGAAGGTGAGAACCACCACGCTATGCCATTCCAACTCACTCCCAAAGAGAAAGAAATGAGCACCTACAAACGGGAGGGACCCAAGTGCCTACCTACTCACTAACAGCAGGTGCAAACCCAACGAAGAGCTTGGTGGGCTTAGGGCCAGAGGAAGATGCTGAGGGACGGATGTAGAAGGTATATTCAGGGCAGGCTAAAAATCTGATACTGCAACATTTTCTAAAGCGCCGGAAGGCAAACTGTGCATGCTGTACCTGAACTACCCAACCAACGTTTCCTCCTTTGCCTTACTCCTAATTGGATTCCCTGTCCAAAATGCAGAGGTTTGCTTTGCTTTTTTTTTTCAGAAGTTCCAAACAGCAACTTTGAGAGCAGTGGGGTGCTTGGCATCCGTTCTGTGTTTTCCAGGATTCCAACTGAGCATTGAAATCCTCATTTGCCAACTTATTTTTATAGGAAGCCAATTTAAAAACAATGAAAGTTTTCTTATAGTATTGGAACTAATTCTAATTTTAAAATGACTTTTTTGATGTATTTTTTGTTAAATACTATGTAGTGTAATGTATAATTGCTCTTGTTTATTGCTTTTACAATCATATTTATTAAACAGATAATGTCTCTAAAGTCTTTGCCTCAGGGGTTTTTATTTAATCCCAAAACTTTGTGTTCACTGTAGATATAAAAGTAGTGCATTTTTAGGTTTTCATAAAGGCTAATTGCATGAGAATATGGTTAACACTACTGGCTTGAAGGCTTTTTTTTTTTTTTTTTTTTTTTTACTAACAAAGTAGAATATATTCTATGACCTGAATTTTATCTGCATTTCTGTTGACTATATGGCACATGTCACTTTATTAAATTACACCCTGCCATTTAAAACTCAAAGTGGCTACTTTTGCATGTGTAACATGCTCTTTGTTATTAGTTTAAAATTATAAGTTATCAATAGGGAACAAGCCGTTTGATATTTCTTCACAACATTGTAGTTACTGAAGGGCCAAAGCTGCATGCTATGAATTGAAATCTGGGAGTGCTAAAGCCTCAGATGGTAGAATAGGAAGAAAGTACTTGGAGCAGAGACCAGGAATGGGAGTTCTCCTTCTGGCTGTGCCAGCTGAGACCTGACAAATCTCTTTACCATATAAAAGCTTCAGTATCTTCATGCATATTATTTGGAATAAGAAGACCTCTTTGAGCTCCGGTTTTCTGAGTGGGTGGATCATTCTTAGCAGCCCCAAATACTCAATTTAAAAGTGAGTGGAAAATAAATAAGTGGACTGGGTCCCAGTGTATTCAGCCATGTGGCTTGACTACTTAAGTAGCATTTCTCAGGGCACAGTGTGAGCACATTTGGGTGAAATATTGGTGCAGGCACAAAACCTTAGCTTTCCTGAAGGTCTAACAGGGTCAGAACATTGATGACTCTTGAGTTCAGCCCACATCAGTTCAACAGTCTCCTGCAGTGCAAAGATGCTCAGTGCAAAGGTACTCCTTTCTCTGGGGCTTTTTCCACACACAGAGAGCAACACATACGTGGAACTTAACATCGTCATAATGATGTGTGGCACTTTATTCCCTTCTTACTTGGTGCTATGATAATTCATGGAAGGGTGTTTTAATTCACTTTATTTTTATTCTTTTAGCATCTAGCACTAGGCATCGCCATTAGGGGGCAATAGATAAATGTTGGATGAAACTCAACCCTTGATTTTCCATTTAACATTGTAAGCCAGTCTATTTTATTCAGCAGTGATCTCTGAGGGGGCTTTACGGGTCAAGCCTAACCCAGCTAGCACCTCTAATTACATGTCCAATTGCTGTTTGTCAAGAATCAACACCTTCCAGCCCTTCTCGTCCATTACCAGTAAAGCTGCTATATTCAGGGAACTATTCTTAGGTACTCATTTAAGTTAAATAATTGCAGTTTAGAAAAAAGAAAGGGAAAAATATTGGCTAGAAAGTGGAACAACAACCAGAGGGCTATGTTTAGCTTCTGAATCATTCTATAATTTGCTCATCAGTTCCTAAGGAATAGGATTTGGAAAGTGCACGTTTGGTTGATTCTGTCATGGAGGGGCATTTCCGAAGTAATTCCAGATGGACACACGCAAGGCAATAGTACTATAAAATTTCAGTGTTGAATACGTGAAAAAGAACCCATGGTTTGAAAAATGCAGGTATTTATTGACCTAATGTAACAGACACTGCAGTGCTACTAACAGAGCTGCCAAGATGTCAAATAAAACATCTGCCGGGGCTGGGGATTTAGCTCAGCGGCAAAAGCGCCTGCCTGGCAAGCGCAAGGTCGTGAGTTCGGTTCCCGGTACCGGAGAAAAACCAAAAAAAAAAAAAAAATAAAACATCTGCCTTCGTGAAGCATATATTCTAATAGGAACAATGGAAAATGATGGAATTTGATGTGTACTAGTCTGTCATTCTTACAAGGTAATTACAAGACACTGAAAGTAAGAATAAAACTCGATGAGCAGCAGAGTGAGTGGGGGTGGGAAGGGGCAAGGGAGGATTTGGTCTTGGAGGCAAAAAGTTTGAGATGAGAAGCAAACTTTTCTTGGATCTGCGAACTGAAGAGGAGCCAGTCTTTGAGAGACACACGCATGGTCCCAGTGAGTTTGAAGTCAGCCTTGGAAAACAAGCAATTTTGAGTCCAAACAACTGTAAGTGCTTCTGAGTTGCCCATATTTTCCCCCGGAGAATCTCATATACGGTCAGTTGTCCTAGTACCGTATAACGTGTGTGTCCTGAAAAACCACCTCCCTGTGCAAAATAGAACAATAAACACACAAAGCTTAGGAAGCAAAGTGGGGGAGGCAAAATGCACAACACCTTCCTATGTCTAAGCATAATGGGAATCTGTATGTACCGAGAAAAAGATACAAGCGTACTTACAATGGTAGCGCAGTTTACACCCATGAAATGATTAAGAAACAGGAATAAAACACTCGGAAAAGACCTGCACTTCCCTTGTGAAAGTGTGGGCTGGAATGAGGACAGCTTGTGAGTTCCTGTCAGATGGGAAAAGAGTCACCTGAACTCAGAAGCAAACCTGTAACACCACACGTGGGCAGCGTGCCGCTCAAATACAAGGTCAATGAGGGCAGCCGCAAACGTCTGCAGAGTGTGTGTGTATATGTGTGTGTGTGTGTGTATTATATATACTTTTACACAGCTAGTTTCAGCCGCGTGCAGTTTTCTGAGTCCACCGCCTATTTCTCAATGACAAAATTGTGCATAATAAGCAAGCACATTTGAATTATCCTCAAATAATTTCCTAATCTATCAATCATACTAAAACAAATTTATATTTTCAAAAACGTGTCCTGGAGTAGAACAGACTGATGCAAGTGGTAGATTAGCGGTAACTTGTGTGTCCTGGAGGACAAAAAGCAGTCCTGCTTGACAGAGAGAGGAGAAGGTAAGAAGTGAACACAGTCATCACTGCATTCATCACATCTCAGCTGAGGCACCAGCTCCCATGCCTTTCCACAGGGCTTGGAGCTGCAGAATCTCAACGTACTCCACAGCTCCCACTCCACCACACAACCCAAGAAACTCATATTTGGAAAGGGGACACCTAGTCCCAAGAAGGGTAAACTGTGGTCAGAACTCCTCCTTAAAGACAATTGTGTGATCAGGACATGAGATACGTGATAGAAAATAAACTAAGAAGGCTTTGAAATGTTTAACAATAAGTTTCAGTTAATAACAGTAAAACACTGTTGAGCTATCTCAAAACATGCCTCAAATTGTGCATATGTATTAATAGCTTACAGAAGTATAAACTAGTTAATAAGAGATTGGTATTTATTTAAGCATAATAAAGCAGAAAGCTTACATTAAAATTCTTTGCAAAGAATATTTCATGACTGTAAAATTCTCATGTGATGTTAAGAGCAAAATGTAAAACTTTGCACAGTATGGTAATGATTTATCCAAAAAACATAGGGCTGGGAATGTAGTTCAGTGGTAGAGCACAGACCTAGCACATATGAAGCATAGGGTTTGATTCAAATACCAAAAATGAATTGTGTATTCAGAAAAAATTCTACGTTAAATAAAACTTATAAGAAATACATTGTGAACTAAATCCAAGATAATTATATTCATTAAATTTATTGCACAATTATTCATAAACAGTACGTGAAATTTCATAGAATAATCCATAGTTATTGACAATGTATACTTAAATTCCTTTGATAAATCAAAATTGCTTACTTAGATAAACAATTTTCTCCTTTCTCAAATTGAATTTATATCGTGAGGAGAATATAATTTTGCTATTATGATACCTGCAATTTAATTCATGAACTACCAAATATTAAAATCTTTAAAGTGTAACTTTGCTATCAATGTAACATATATATAGATAGAGAGCCCACCAAAAATATGTATATTGCTACTTTAGGAAAAGAAAATTGTATGATGTTTCTGCAACAGATGGTATTATTCTTGTATGTGGGATCTTAGAGGATGTCATATATCACAGAAAACCCGCCACACTGCCACCCCTTAGAGAAGAACCTGAAAATGTACATGCAGCAGTGACCAAGTCTAGATCTCAGTGACCAAGGTTACCCAAGCAGCCGTTTGCCCTACTCATAAATATTCGGAGCTCATGGCCACCACTTTGAGCACCTCTTGTCATTGTAGAGGCCAGAGGTAATTTGTATTCATCTCATGTCTCAATAAGTTTAATATTAAAATATTTATACAAGTTTTTCTTCTTGAAGTGTCCATACATTTTGCAGCTTTGGAGAACTCTGTCTCTCATATATACATATATATCCATATCCATATATACATAATAAAACCTTACAGAATATAAAAAGGTAAATGTATGTACATTCACATTTACACATTATTCAGATACACACATGGAAATGAATTCTCAGAAATGATTAAAGGAGTTATAGAAGTTACAGCCCAGTTTTGCTGTTAATGGAGATCTAGATTTACCCAGACTGTGTATGTTGACTCTCCTGACCCAGTGCTATCAAAAACTTCTGTTATTCTTCAGCAAGTGCAGTCAGCTCCAGACTGAGGTGAGGAAGGAGGCCAGAAAGTCCTTGAGAAATGACTCAAGGTCTCAAGAGACAAAATGCCAAAGCTGCTGGAGAGCACTCTCCGCTTTCATTTGTGTGGCCAGCTTGCTCACTGTCCAGCCAGCAGCTAATTGACTTTACTCAGCACCTTTCCTCACCAAAGGACGCCAACCTCGCTTACCGCACACTTACATACACATACCCACTTACACATGGCTGGGGCTGGATTAGCTGAGGGTCTGCTGCACAAGTTGGGGCAGGAAGTTCTCATTGGCCAAGGCTGGGACACAGGCATTGTTGGCTGTGAAGAAAAAAGTAAACTACATTCAAAGTGCCCAGTCCAGGTCCAAACCCAGGTGTGAGCGTGTGTGTGACCACTGAATTCAGACAGCAAAAGGCTGTGAAGGTTCTAATTCCCATGCGAGAGTGAAGTGTTAAATGGAAAACAAAAACAAAACAACAGAAAATTATTCATATTCAATAATTCATAAATCAGACAACAGTGTAAAATAAGGAATTTGTGATGGAGATACATGAATGATAATAGAAATTGTAGAGAAACTA